CAAACTCATCCCACATGGTCAACACCAATGCTCTGAGAAGGACAGAAAAGGCTGTATTCTGCATCATTACAATGTCCAGTTCAACCGTATGCTGACTTCTGCATTTCCACTCAGGTCAGGGCTTGCATTATTAGTCTCCTGATGGAAGGGAGATCTGTTAAGACCCATTCCAACCCTGTAAATGATCAGCTAAGAAAATTATAAGTATTAGATGAAAATGAAGAACTACTATATTGGATGAAGAATCCTCTCAATAGAAACTATTGCTGTACCTGTAAGAAAAAAAAAAAAACAACAACAAAAAAAAAACTACTAAGAACAACACATCTGTAAGGAACACAAAAGTAAAAGCAATGGTAGAAAAGTGCTCAGTTCTCCCAAGCTCCAGGTACATGTGATAGACAGTAGTCATTCATCCTCCGATGAAATCCCATGTAGATGCATTACAGTATGGTGGGTTTCACAGGGTAAATGATGGGATCCCACAGCAGCTCCACCCTCAGTAAAAGGGTTTAAATTGCTCCCAGGTGTGAGGCCACCTATAATAGATATTTCCAACATTGTTAAAGGCATGATGTTTTGGACATTTATTTTATCTTATATATATATATATATATATAAAACAGGTTTTGTCTAAAACTACTATTAAATTGAATTTCAGTTTCAATAAAAATACAGCAAAGGATTCAGTAACCTTTCCAGATAAAATCAAATGTAATTAATTACCAGACCAGATTTAACAACCACCAGTGTGTATGAAATCCACCATTCAGGGCCAGAATATTGCCATGTTGTTGTTACATTGCTGAGTATAAGACTTGCACTTAGTCATAAGTCTTCTGTATCTTTGAAAACATCTACTTCATAATTACTGCATAGTAGCATAGTGGGAAGTGAGTATAACATCTGAACAGGGCTGTTTATTTTATAAATGACTTTAGTCTGCTTCCAAGGACTCGGAAAAACTGAATTTTACCAGATTTAACTAATCTTACATCCAACCATTACTTTTTTGTCTCAGGAAAACTACTGGAGTAAAGTAATGAACAAAGCTGCAGTACTTTTTGAGGGCTGAAAAACTGGCATTAGTGGGAGTTTCCTTCATAGTTATTAATGCATTGTTAGTACTAGGCAGCTCATAAACCAAAATAAGGACTTTTTATTATTTATTTATTTATTTGCCAAGCACACCATTTAATCTGTTCCACCTATAAAGTTAAAACTCATTCAAATGAAATGTGCACACATTAGGGAAACCTGAATTTAGCCAGATGAGCAAAACAAATTTGTTTCAATATGTTGGCCCTAAAACTATTATCAAGAAAAATACAACTACTTTCCTCAGACAGCTCTCTCTGATCCCCTTCTCTCAACAACATCAATTTTTTATAATACAAAACGGCCAAAGTGCAGGATTTTTATTACATATTCCCATAAATAATTCACTGACAACATGGAACAAGAGATAAATGAAAGAGCCATCCTTACCATTGACGTGATCACACTGAGCACAGTCCCAGTAAGATGCCACTGAACTCAGTGAACTGTGTCTCAGGGCTTTGATTTTGGAAATTCACTCCACAAACACCGCTGCCTGTAGCTACAGATGTTTTACGGGTAGATCCCATTGTGAGAATATCCTCTCAGCATTTAGATGGGCCTCCCCATTTCTGTGTTTTGTCCAGGTGTGGCCTTTACTTTTTCATTAGTTGGTGCTTCTGCCTGGGAGTCAGCTCCCTGTCATGTACTCATAAATGGATGAGTAGAGCGGGGCCTTCCTTTTGCTACTAAATATAATAGCTTGTACCACCAGAGAAATACAAAACCATTCTATAATTCAAGAATGCATAAAGCAGAGCCTCCTGAGTTTTAAGAAAAGCAGCACTATTTGTCTTAGAAATACAGAAGCATTATAATCTTTTAATTGGAAATCATTAAACTAGAGTCATCACTTGAATTATATTCAAACTCATAAAAATTTTCCAGGTAGCAGTAATCACTACTTTTTCTCTACCTTTATCTTTACCTCCAAGTTAAATGTGTTTGGATTTTTCTGTGCAGATGATCAGAGGAACCATTAGAGCCCATTTTTGCTCAGTGACCAATGATTGAAAGTCTCTCCCATGATGTGCTGAGGTTGTGATGTCTCAGACTAAATCCTTTTCTGGAGGCACAGCAATAACTACTTCTGTTTTTCTAAGAGAACATATCTCCACCATATTATTGAATAGTCTGTCAGAAAAATACATTTGAGTAGATTAAAGAAGTCCCTCTTTCAAAATTTGTAAACAAACAAAAATTACAGTGTAGAGAACCAGGTAGAAAGTTAGCAAAGGAAACTCCTCCTCCACTGTATGTGAACTGAGCTTAGTGATGCCAGGTCAATACTGTCCCTTTGATTTACTGCTATGCTAGCACCATGCAGAGAACAGAGCAGAGGGATGATGTTTAAACCTCATTGAGTATGTTAGAGGATTTCGGGTGGAGGGAAGTTTCTCTCTGTGATTCATTTATGATAAATGTCTATTTTGCTGCAGCCATTTCTCTATCTTCACTGTATAGGTGGTCATGTATCATTTCATTAGTGAGATGTCAGATAGCTCTTAGTGAGTTTGGTTCATACCCATGAAGGCTCATTTAAAATACAAATCAAGCTAAGAAGAAGTAGTCTTTGCCTCTGATTAACCCCTTGCTGCCATTAAGGTGTTTCAATGGTCACCAGTAGTACTACTCCACTTTGGAGGAATAAGTTGAAATATGGCAAAAGAAGCACACTTCTGTGTCAGGGATGGATATTTTCTTTTACTTACTCATTCCAATGTGATGACTGTTACACAGTAGTGTCTAAATCTTAACAGTTCTGTAGGTTTTACAGGTCATCCTACAGGAAGATAGGCCATCCTCCACTAAGGCAAATATGAAACAGGACTTGTGCCCTTCCTGAGTAGAATGTGATTTCCCTTTCTCTGGTCTCTGACCGAATGTGATGTGGGACTAGCCTTTGAACCATGGAGAGTGCCGGGCTAATGGGACATTTCCCACCCTTCCTTGTGTACTGCACTACTAACATATGGAAGGAAGCAATAGGCATCTACTAACCAAAGGACAATTCAGGGACAATGATAAGTAAAACCTTTTGTATGGGAAAGAAAATTCAGAGTGGATTGACAGGACTAAACAGTTACTCAGTTTATTTTATTTTATTTTATCTTATGGGGCTTCCCCATCGCTCCCAATTCTCTCCATGCTCTGCAATTTCAGTTATGAATGTTCCTAGTTGTGAAAGGAGAGGGAAAATGTGGCTTTACCTTTCTGCAGTTCTTTGAAGTATTTTTAAAGGAAGTAAGGAATAATAAAAGCTGAGTCCCTGACTCATCTCGCCTTCAACATGCTTTTGGCTCAAAGGATTGTGTTTTCTGCTCTTTTTATCACTTCCATATTGACAGGAACACTGCAGTCCAATATCAGTGACTGATAGTGCAGTGTGTGGGAAAATTGTTCATTTTTGATTGAATAGACATGTTAATCTCATCAGTATGTAAATGAAAGGTGTTCCTGAGGCATTCTGCCTCTTGACACTTTCACTTCAACCTGTCTTTTGGGGATGTTTGCCTCCAAGGAACGCATTTAGAGAAATCAGCCATAAGCATATAAGGAATATGCTAAGAATGCTAAGCAATGTTGGTATTAAATATTGAAAGTAAAAAAAAAAAAATACAAGAATGTCCTTTTAACTAAGCTGCAGTCAGTAAGACTCCTTTCTAATTTCCTGTACAAAGCCATGCAAGTATGTGTAAAAACTTAAAATATAAAAATATTGCCAGTCAATTTTTGTATTTGGTCATGTAGCAGACAAGAATTAAATGTATGTCATTGTTAGCAACATTCAACTTGAAACCTGTTTTCTAACCAGAATAATCTTCTTTATTTTAACTAAATAAACAAGAGCCAGGCAGAGTTTCAGAGCATGTAGAATATTTTCAATCAATGGTAGAAGAATATTATTACAAAACAGCTCCTCTCATCCCTTCACAGTAAACAACACAAGAGAGACCAAGGAGACACAGTGTATTAAATTTCTCTAACAATAAGATCTCATTTCCAAAAATAGAATCTGCATTGAACAGTCTTCATTTATGTACAGTTCCATATAAAACAAGTGTCAGGGACTATTCATTATATGTTGGTGTGATCATACATGATTTTCACTTAGCATCAGTACTTCAATGTCCCCCTTTTATTTGTGCTTTTGAAGATAGTGATCCTTGAGCTTGCATTCGGGAACATGTTCCTTCAAGGCTGGTTGACCTGTTTATTTGTATAAAGGTTGCAGGTTTTTTGTCAGCTAGTTCATGTCGTGTACCTTTATTGTACAATGTAAGGGTGAAGCATAAATATCAGAACATCAGCGCATTTTTGAATTCCCAGGAAAAAGAAATACTTCGGCTCTGCCATGAGAGAAGAGTTTAACTAAACTAACTATAAAGACCACCCCTTTTAATATTTTAACTTCCTATTACACAGGAGTCATGATTCCCATTCTAAAACCAGGAATACAAAACTGGAAATCAGACATTACATTCCTCACTCATTCTGCATTTTGTGAAATCATTTTTAAACTTTTTTTTTCCATGTTGATTTTTTTTCAAAAGGAAAGAAACCAAATTAATTGCAAATAATGATTTTCTTTTTTTAAAAAAAGTGTTTATTCCACTTTTGCTCAAACTTCTAATTACACTATTCCCTGTTCTCAGATTAAAATCATTCCTAAATATATACACATTCAGTATTAGTTACTGCGTTCTGTTTTATTTCATCATTACTTTTCTATATCAAACAAAATGGAGAAGAAGAAAGTGTTGACATAAATGTACAAAGAAGATGCTTCCTATGGGGTATTGCAGAGTTAGGAAGTTCATAGTCTTCATACAGATATATAAAACATTTCAGACGATCTCCATTCATTGGAATCTGTTCGGTTTCTCTTGTCAGACCTGTGTGACAAATACAAGACCAGAAATTAATAATTTATCAGGGAACTAACAGATGTTTTGAGAGAATGCAGAGAAGTACCCGTAAGTTGTGAGGGGGTGTACCAGCACCTGCAATTTTGCTTTCACTGAGTGTACTTGTTTACACCTGAGCTTGGGGAATACAGAGTGGGCGTGAAACAAATCGTTTTGATCCACTAGCTATTTCCACCCACTCTCCAAATCTCCATCTGATGAAACTTCATGATTCTCTTAAGAGCTCATGATCTCCTTACAGTTATGTTTTGTCCTCAGTACAGGGTATCTGCCACTCCTGCCCCATCCCATTGCCCTGCTGCCCCCAGCTGGCTGGTGGGCCATGGGGGACTCCTGAGCTCCTCCAGCTCCAGCCCCAGCCCCAGCCCTGCATCAACCCTGGGAGGCCCCTGCACTGCTTCTGCAAGTGCAAGCAGAAAATCCTGCAGCAAGGCACAGCAGGATTTAGGATTTAGTAGGGACATATCAGCTAGTTAGAAATCAAAGCAGTATTTACTTTTACCCTTGGCACATGCAAATATTTTAAGATGCATATAAATATATATATATATATTTTTTTTTTCAACTGCATTGATTATCCTCTTCCCTTGCTTTCTCTGTTCTGTCCATTTGACCCCTGAGTGGTAGCAAGTCTCCTTTGTCTCCTTTCCAAACTGGACAGTCACAGGGTTTTTCAACCTCTCTTCTGGAAATTATCTGTCCCTGTAACTATTTTTGTCACATCTTCAATCCTCCCCTCCTCCTTTAATTTCCAGGAGTTGCCAGCACTGAGCACAGTATTCTGGATGTGGCAGCACAGTATTTTCTGTCCTGATTTTATATATCCTATCAGTGTTCATTTATTTACTTATGTGAAGCAACATAGGGGGGTGTTTAGCTGCTGTCTGGAGAATGAGCAATTTCCATTGACCTGTCTGCAGTGACTCTTCCCGATGTTGCCACAGCTAATTTGAAACCCAGCATAGGGTCTATTCCTGTTCTCTTTGAAGTTAAGAGGTATCAGTGTTTGCTGTTGATATCGGTGGTTCCAGATGGTTCAATACTGAGGAAGAGAGGTTTTGAAAGTAACTGTGAAAAGTTCAAGACATTACCTTTCACAGAGTATATGTTTAATTAAATAGGATGTAAATATTTGGGGTGAAAGATTAGCTCTAATTTCTTATAAATTTTCTTGAACTCATGAACCTGTATGCTCAGAAAGTAAAGGAAAAGTCATAGGGCAGTGAAAAATTACAACCTTCTATATTTGATGATGTGTTACATAAATTGGAGTTTTGCCACTCCTGAACATGCTGGGAGCTGTACACATCTGAAGAAATATTGGAGGGACATTCAAAAGGCTGGGACTGCTAAGCTTTGATAAGAAACACTTCACTGGAGAAAAGAGGTGCTCTTCAGAAAAACTCATCATGGCTTATACAAACTCCTTGAAAAGTGTTGGTGACTTTTGAATAAAGAAGTTAAAAGTTAATTAACTGGGCTTGAGAAAAGTGAGGGGGTGTCGATGTCCTAAGGAAGGAGGTCAAAAAACAACACAGTGCTACTGGCACACTCCTGCCATTAGCAATCAAACTTAATCATCTCTTAACCTGACTCAGTGAGGCAATGTGCTAGTCTGCTTCAGCTGAAATTTCCTTCCAATCAGGTAATTTTATGTACTTATTCTTCAGATCTCAAAACCAAAATCAAACCTTAGAGCTGCATTTGATGGCTCCCCGGGATATGCACGCACGTGTAATCCCGTCCTGTATAATTACCGTCTGCCTACACACGTTCTCCTTGCGTTTCAATCCGGTATTCTCTTTCTCTTTCAAACTGTGCCGTGCCTGTTCCTGAATATCACAAGGTGACTGTTTTGCAGTGGTGGGTGGATAAAACATTACTAGCTATGATTAAACACAAGTGCTCGAGCCTGGTCTCAGAATAGAGGGTATCTATTAGCGCCGGTGTGCACAGCGCTGTGGGCACCCAGAAGCATAATTGGGCACTCGGTGTCACAAGGGTTTCCTGATTCTTCCACCAAAATAGGCCAATGCCATGCTCTATCTCTAAATATATTGTGGGCAGGTTCATGGAGTGAATGACAGCTGTAACTCAGCATTCTCTTTTATGGGGTTATGTAACATTTTTTACACCTTTCCAGCAGATTCATCGCCTCAGATGAAAAGGCTGTGTTTCCTGCAGGTGTTAACCTCTAGGACATGTGTGCCCTGCACAGGAGAGCACCGTGCTCATCTTCCCCTACCTTACTTTCCAAGTAGTTTAGCTTTTCCTTATTTCCTGAGCTTGTAGCACCAACTGTTCTGTGCCACGCACACCCAGGCACCAAACCCCAGAGATCTTGGGTATGAAGAAAACAGAGCCAGATTTTCCTCATTGGTGGCCACTGACAGGACAGGATATAACAGGCACAAACTGAAATACAAGGAGTTTAATATGGACAGGAAAATAAACTTGTTTTGGTTTGTTGGTTTGGTTTGGTTTGGTTTGGTTTGGTTTGGTTTGGTTTGGTTTGGTTTGGTTTGGTTTGGTTTGGTTTGGTTTGGTTTGGTTTGGTTTTTTTTCAACTGTAAGGGTGCTCAGGCACTGGAGTAGGTTGCCCTGAGAGGTTGGGTAGTCCTTGGAGAAACCCAGCATCTGGGACACAGCTTGGAGCAGCCTGCTGGAGCTGCCACGGCTCTGAACAGGGGCTGCACTAGGTGATCTCTACCCTCAGCTGGTCTGTGAATCTGGGCAGAGCCTCTGCTGGTCCCAAGAGAACTTGTTCTCTGCTCGTGAGGGTCAGGATGGTTTTGTGGGCAAGGTGCAAGGTCCCTGTTTGCCCCTGCTTCTCTGTGGGCTTGCCAGTGCTAACAGACTGAAACAAAAATGTGTTAAGTGCCATATTACTGAGTGGGGTTAACAATACAAGTAACCTGGCTGCTTAAATTACTTTTAGCCTCAGGCTCCATTACATCAAATACTCCCTTTTCCCTCCCCAGTTTTCAATCTTTTTTTTTTCTTTTTTTTTTTTTTTTCTTTTTCTCATGGCTCACAGACATTTGACACCCAGCTCCTGCTGATCTCGATATCACTTAATACTTTTTTGACCTCAAGCCTTAAGGTTCCCAGCTGGCACAACATCCCATACAGCTGAACAAGAACCTCTCTTCTTCCCCCTCCCATGGCACAGGACTCTCACTAGGCATTGGATCCCCTAAAAAGGTCTGATGTCTCTGGTCCTCTCAGTCACAACTAAGATATAGTGGCTCTCATCCAATGAAACCCAGTTTTCTTGGAGGCCATTCACCTGGAACACTAATTAACAGAAGGAGCAAAAAATACTACAGCCACCAGCACCTTGCCACTTGCCATCCACATGCAGGACCAAACAAATTGTCATGATAAGCCTTGCCTCAGAGCTCAGGTGCTGAGGAAAATCAAGCCCACTGTTCTCAAATTTTGTATGAAGCACACTGCTGGCAAGCAGTGCTATTTTAACATCTGCTAATAATATTATCTTTCTCTCAGGTGTACTTCCCGCTCTCTGGTTGCTTATAATTGCTACCTGAACTCCCTTGGCAGTCAGTGGACCCTCTATTATCTCCCCGTGATGCTCCAATCCATTCAGACCTCCCTCTGGCCAGCTACAATTCTCTCTCTCCCAGCTCCCAAAGGTGTGTTATTTTTAGAGCTCAAACTCCTCCAGAGATCAATGGGAGTCTGTAAACTCAAAAATAGGTTGCTTATGGTACATTAATAATCCTCACAGTTATGTTCCCTGGTTATTCTTTCAGCCGCTGCAGCTTATCTACCAGTGCCTCTCTTGCCACTCCAATCAACCTTATTCTACTGAACAACACTCTGCCATTTAAAGAAAACAGGAAAGTATGTACTTGACGGCAAATGCAAGCTTAAATGTTGTCGTGATTAAGGACAGACTTAAGCACATGCTTAGGAGCTTTCTTAAATCATGGAATGAGGCTTTTTTTCAGCCCTAGAGACTTTCGTCACTCCCATTTTGACAATCTGCAGGGCTCTGATTGCAGTTGATGAGATGCCAATGCTAGCTTCTGTGGCAAAAATGTTGGGTCCCAGCATTTTCCAACCACGGGAAACTGTGCTACTATTTTTATGTAAGAAATCATTTAATTTATATGTTGTTCAACACAGATGCAACTTGAAAACAAATATCTAAATAAATTAATGAATTCTAAAAGCTCATTTTTTTCCAAAGGCATAGTTTTTCATGTTGCATCTCTTTTTCTTTTTTTCCCTGAAAATGTACCCAAACTACTTAACTTCAAACAGATAAAAGATTTCCTCTAAAAAAAAGCACCAGTAATTCCAAACTGTCGGTATTTTCTGCAACATGTTAGCTGAAAGTAGAAGAAATAAGAACTAAATCCAGATTTTGGATGTATCTCCATATATACAATAAATTGACCATGTTCAGTGCTAATATTATATAATTAAAGACTGAACATGAATCACCTGAAGGCTAAGTAAAGTGTCTTTATCTGAACAGTTTCCAGCCCTATGTGCTTAACCCTAAGATTCTGGTAATGCAGCTGGTTTTATAAGAAGTTCCCTTACAAAGGAGAAAACAGACATATACCATTAGCACTTCATAGAAAATCAGTGATTATAGCAAGTGCACAAAGGTTCAGTAAATGCCTCCCACTCAGCAAGCTTCCAAAGTGAACGACCACATGATGTTTACTCCTCACCAGAACCCATTTATAGATCTCTTACTCACCACTATCACAGTCATACATGCAATATTTAAGAAAAGACAGGCAAGAAGTCTTCTATTTATTTGGGAGAGGATGGGGGGTTACAGTGGGAGAACTGGGTCTTTTCTTTAGAATATTATTTCACCAAGCAGCGAAACGTGATTTAAAACATATAAACTCTAAAGATTATAATAATCTGAAAGCATTCATTACATACCCTGGGCTATACATACTGTCAATAAGCATGACTACTTGGAGAAAATTTTGCACAGGAAAATTTTGATTAAAAGGATCAAAAATGTCTCTTCAAAAGTGCAAGTGGGAAATGAAGGTAACAGCTTCCTGGAGCCCAGGAAAGGCTTTCATTCCCACAACTTTTAAGTGACATCTGGGCATTCCTGGTGAATAAGCACCCTGGGAATGAAAAGGGTATTCATTTCAGTAAGGTAAGAAGGGGACAGAGGTCATGAACTTTTATTAGTGTGGAGCAGACTTAGCCTAGAATTCCCAACACACCACTCTTCAGAAGGAAAATTTTGTGAAAAGAAGGTAAATACACCAACATGCTTTCTCTGATTACTCTAGGGAATTTGGAATGTGAAATAAAGTTGGACTATCTTCTTTGACTCCCCAGTTCTATTACTCAGCTGATAAAAGCCTTGTCCTTCCTGAGATAGTAACCTGAAGTGCCAAAGGATCTTCTTTAATTCAACTGCCCTCACTTCCCGTCAGTGGGCACCACTTGCAAAGATCATCTTCTCCTGCACAACTGCTTCAATATTTATATCATGTCTGGGTCACTGTCTGTATGGACAGCGGAAGAAGCAATAGGAAGTCAAATGTGCTCCAGGTGAACATACTTATACTGTGACGGGGCATCAGAAAGAGGGTTCAGGTTGCAAAGGGGGGGTTCATCATTTGAATCCCTCTCAATGGTATCTGGTCAACTAAATTAAGAAGTCTACTTTAAATTAAAACATGTTTTGCTTTCTTGCATGCTTTTTGCAAATTATTTCAACACATTTGTTAGGTTTCTGTCAGGATAAAAGTAGTGATCTCACATATTTGAGCACCTCTCATACATCTCAAATATATTGTCTCTCATATGTATCTTTTCTTGATGTGGTCCTGGGCAACCAGCTCTAGCCGGCAGTGCTTGAGCAGGAGGGTCAGACCAGATGACCTTCAGAGATCCCTTCCAACCTCTGCCATGCTGACACTGTGTGATTCTGTGAAATACTGAAAACATTAAACAGTTTCTACCTTTTTTCTTCATTTTACCTACAGTAAAATGAAATATATTGGAAGCAGCTAAAAAATAGAGATTCAGGTTACACACATACACACAGAGTTTCAATACAGAGGGTCAGATATTTTATTTTTTTTTTTGAGATTTATTTGACAAAGAATGTTAGACACAAGTGTTGAAATATGAAAGTTTTTTTTTTTTGCTTGTTTTTGATAATGAGCTTTTCTTATCTTTGTCATTAAAAAAATCCTAAAAGCCATATGTGCTTTCTCACACGTGTTGTTCCTCCAATTAATTTACGTCTGTCTTCAGACAGTATAGGATGGGCAGCCAAAGGCAATGTTGACCCTTTGTACTCTCTGTAGTTCAGTATGTACACAAGGAAGCTGTAGCAGAGTATTGTGTAAGACCACGTTCAGTCAATAACAATAGACCTTTTCATTTAGGACAACAGCAAAAATAAATAAATAAATAAAAGCCAAGCAAAAGCATTCCACACATTATATCTTGTTACTTACACTGACACAAAGCTTAGTCAGCAAAGAAACTTGCAAAAGAGAGAAATTCAGTGTGGTGGCTCTGAAGTGACAGCTATTGAATGGAGGTCATTCAGATCAATATGTTATGGCAGCAAATTTATCTCCTGCCAAGTAAGGAACAAATCTCTGACATTTTTGAAAGGTATAAATTGGGCACTTAGCCAACATAACACAATTAAGAAGAATGGCATTGCACTGACCTAATGGCTGCCATAACAGTTTAAGTGATAAAAAAGACAGATTAGATAACAGTATGTGTTGGAAGCTCTTTGGAGGATTTTTGACTCAGCGCAGTTGTATTAAACTGCGCATGGTTTCCAGGCTGTTCCCTTAGTTATTTGGAGACTGCAACTACTTGGGCACAGTGGCTGTGTTATGCAAGTAGTTCACAGAGAGCTAATAAGCATGAACAAGAAACACAAAATCATAGACGTGAATATTTTTTTATGGTGAGGTTTGTGCATGGATTCCTGGTTTAAGTCAGATGAAGAAGCAGCTAGGCTTTTTTACCTTCTATACATCAGATATTTTTTAACTTTCTAAAGCAATCAAGTACTGTGTAAGCACAGAATCCTATCAGTTCCCTGAATGACCAATATTTTCAATGAGTTGTCAGTCAATTAATCATGTAACAAATGTAAAATCCGTGATTTTAGTTGAATACTAAGGAATCTTTCATGCTATCTTAGTCATACAGAAGATGGATTGGTTGTTCTTTGGGAACAGTTCTTATTCAGAAGGAAACAATCCATTATGAATTTTTCAGGTGGAAAATTTGTTCCTCACTAATTCAGCTGCAGGCATCTCATATCAAGTAGACAACAGTGCAGCTGGCTCACCCAGCGTGTAACATCTTGAAGTTTTCCTCAAGTTACTTTTTTTTTTTTTTTTTTTTTTTTCTTTTTTTTCCTCAAGCCTTGATCCCTGCCATGGACTGGCAAGCCAAACTGAGATGGCAGCTCTTAGAGGGTCCAAGCCATGACAGGGTCCCAGAAACTTGGAAACTGAGGTCCTTCCTCTGTCTAGGGACTTTAGTGCTCTTACTTACATGTAGAGGTTCTGAATCACACAGAAATTCTGGGCTTATCCAGGTTTCTGGTATTTCCAAGCTCCCAGCCCAGCTGTGGATTTGCAGTAAGGAGCTGGGCAGCCCTCCAATCTGTAGGTGGAGCTGGAGCCCTCAGAGCTCCTTGGTTCTGTGTCCAGAGCAAGGAGCTTCAGGCCAGCCACCCCACACCTGGGAAGTGCCTCACATCCCAGGACATGCCCAAGAACAAAGACCGCTGAAGTCTTTGGGAAATATAAAACTGAAATACTTGTATTTTCTATGATCCTTAATGGAGTTACACTGATTTTCCTTTCTCTTGATTATTAGAACCAAGATGCAAATGATGCACATATCATACGCAGTTCCTAAAAGGCCAAGGACCAGATTTCAGCCTTTCCAGGGAAAAAAGACATTCTTCCCATAACAAATGACTAGTACTAATTTAGAAGGTTTAGTGTTTGTATCATGTCACAAACATTATACTCTCTAGATCATGGAAATATGCTCTGAACTTTTCTATAATCTACTCAGTTGTATCAGTAGTGTGTTTTGTTTTTTGTTTTCTTTTGCTTGGGCAGCTCTTGGCTCAGATCAGAAAGCCACCTAAAGCAATACATGGGCTGCTAGTTATCATCGTTTAAATGAAGTAGCACCTTACTGAACACATTTTTTAGCTTAATGATTCACAACAGCAAATTTGCTGCAATAAATATGTTGGTTTTCAGGATGAAAATCAACAGTTTCTTAAAATTGTGAAAGCATATCTTGAGGTTTATCATAGGCAAGCAGTTCATAGAAACTAACTTGATAAGGCCTGATTATGCATAACATTTCAAAATGGTATTACAAAGAAAACATACAAGCTCTGATACAGTTTTTATTATTGCCATTCCTACCTCTGCTGTGACTTTCACTGAAACTACCTTTCATGTTCTTTCTGCACAGTTTACATGTCTGAAAAAAAAAACAGTGCTTGTAGCATGTTTACATCATGTTAAATTCATTTTTTTGCTTCATTTTTTTGCTTCAATTTTATGATTTTCATTAATGTTTACCCTCTGACATCTTTTAACCTAAAATGTCATCCCTATAAAAAGATTTTCAGACTCAATTTCAATTGCTTTGTAAGTCCATGAGGTCATTTATGATTTTTAATGGGAATCAAATACTGAGCTGTATATACTAAATACTTTGATTAACATTGTTGATGAGAAGCTGCAATAGCTCTTTGTACCTCTGTCAATGAGAACTGTGCTGCAGTACTCACTACCTTTGAAATTAATACCTTCAGAATGGAAAAATACAGCTTTTCCTTTGTGGCACTTTACTAAGACCTGTTAGGTTCATGCAAGTGTGCGCCTATAATTACTATCCTTTGTAATTATTAATCAATATAGGGAGGAAATTGTTCTCTGAATGCATGTTAAGCTATTTTCATCCACCTATACCACCTCTGCTTTAAAAAAGCATTTGAGTTTTCTATGTAGGATTGCTCAAGGGCTTGTTCCCCTTTAAGGTATCATCCTGATTGCACGAGCAAGTATGTCCAAACAGCCTGTTAATGAAGCCATGTGACTTAAAGGGCTTAAGTAGTAAAAAATTTATAGCACTAAGATTAGAAAGGAATTTCCAGGGCAGTCTAGTTTTATTTTATTTTCATTCCCTGTAATAGCAATTTGGATTCTCAAGACAAAGCCTTACAGAGACAATAAAAGTACAGGAATTATTTTTGTAGCAAATTTAACAGAAAGAAAGTAAAGGTCTAAGAACAGAACCCACAAAATACTTATTACCTCCTTTGAGGTGCTACAAAGCCTATTGATTTCTCCAGTGATAGCCAAAAACACTTATCAGCTTTCAGGCACAGGTGAAAAACAGACAGTGGAAAAGCACCTGGGTGGTGGTGCACCATGAAAATAAAAAGAAGTTGCTAGGTCCCACTAAGAAATAATAAAATAAAAATAAAATATAAAAAAAAAAAGACTCATAACTGTGATGCTTTCAGATTGAAAATATACACAGGAGCCAGGCTAAGCACGATAAGGAATAAAATAATAATTGGCAAAGTATATAAAAAGCAGCAATAAAAACCAACTACTAAAAGAAAAAGTCCAAAAAAGCAGTGCTATTTGAAACAACGGGACATCTTTTTTTGTGTGTGCTGAAAATGATGAAGGCTCTGTAAGGAGGCACTCATTGATGCAATATGAAATGCACCTACTGAGAGTTAATTACATGACTGGGGTTTCTCAACCAGGATGTGTCTCTGAAAGCAAAGCTTCCAGCTAGGAGAAAATGTATACGGTGGTGACTACTCTCACTGTATGGACTCCCTACAGTCAGTTCTTGGTCGCCCACCACAGAGATAACTGGGGGGAAATTCCTCACAGGTGTCTGCAGGTGAAGTACAGGAGGAGGAGGCAAGAACATAATGACTGATACTGTGCTATGCAAACTGGATTAACCACAGCCAAACTATTATAAAGCTAAAAAACAGAATTCACGGTTTTCAAAAGCAACTAATGATTGGGGGGCATAGCCTTTGGGAAAGGAGCATCATGAGATAACCCACCACAAGCACTACAGCTCTAAGGAGCCAACCTCTCTCATGGCCCACATAGGGCTGCACAAGCTGTAGGACCAAAGTCATTTTGCATTCCTCAAAACCTTGTCATCTGCTCTCATGGCATCCCTGCTCATGTCCGTCATAGCTTCACCTCTGAAAGTAAAGGGAGTGGTTGTCCCACTGAAGAAGGGCATTTGGCAGCCTTGAAAATCCTCAGCCAGTAGCTCTGGCATTTTGCAACTATCTTAATGGCCCTTGTTTGCACCAAACCCATAATGTCATGGGCTTGAAGCCCCTGCATGACAAATGCCAATTCCAGCACAGCTGAAAGCTCATGCTGCCCTTCTATTGACTTTGACATGGAAAGTGTTGGAAGAACTTATTCTCCTTTTCTTCAGGGTGGGCAGGAAGCTGGAAATCTAACAAAACAAAGCTTCTAGTGGAAAGGGCCTGATTTATTTTAAAAATATGTATATTCTTTCTCAGGAAATTGAAAATCCTCAGATGTTCTGTGCTTTTCTTTGAAAATTCAGGCCACCTAGTTATGTTGTTTATTTTTTTAGAAAAAAAAAAAAAAAAAAGGTTGATTTGCAGGGGCTGAAATTTTGAGAAAGGTGACTGCATTTTTACTGACATTTTTATGGTTTTATAATGACTGTTCCAGTTAAATCCTTTCAGCAATCTTATCATAGTCAAACAGTGCAATAAAAGTTTTGTAGGGATGGGTTATCAGCCTCAAGAGTATGCTGTTTCATGCCATATGAACTCTAAAATGCATAACTGTGCTGTATAGTTAAATGGTGAACAATGGTTTGAGGCACTTGCCTCAGACTTCTTTTATGCTTGCACTTCATTTGGTCCTAGCTCTCCAATCAAATATTAAAACTTTAAATTATACACAAAACTTTCTCGCTACTCTAAATGCAATGTATCACCCAGCAAAATGCTGCTGCTGGAAAGGTTCTCCGATTTTACACCTGAATGCTCATGGAATTTGTTATTGTCACTCTGGCTGCCACTTGGTACCACATGTAAGCTGGCTGATTTTCTTCAGAGTGCATGCTCAGTGGTAAGGAACACTGTTTGGTATCTGCATGGTCTTCACATGCTGAGAAGGGTTATAAAATTAGTTGTATTTTTAAATACAAATTTGTAAGCAAGAGGTAATGTATTTTCATTTTGTGGGAGTGGTAGGATTGCGGGGGCAAAACTGTGGAAAGTGAAAAAACTGGCACACTGTGGATTGCCATAAAGTTCTCCAGCAGATCCTCTCACTAATGACATTTATAAAGTGCCACCGGCCTTTGTTGCCTACTCACATCTGTGGAGTTGGTGGCTTTTTCCTTTTCAAAAAAAAAACCCTGAGAAAGTACTTAATAATAAGCACATATTAAAACAGTATTAAGTTGATAAATGACTCACACAAGCATCAGCTAATCAGTTAAGACTGAACACACAGCCTAATAGTGCTGATTTGTATTCAGAAATTAAGATATAGGTACCAAATTTTCTCTCATCTGCACTTCAAGTGTATAGTCAGTCATTTATTTCAGAGAAATACTGGTATGTACACAAGATGAATTTGCATTATTGCATTAGTTTCGTAGCCACACAAAATTTTGCAGATATGAGATGGTCAGAGGAAAATTGTTTTAAGCTGTAGTCTTCAGATAATTCTATATGAGGCTGTACAGGATGTTAACTCATCTGCACCAGTGAACACATAAACACGCACCCTTAGCTTCCTGACTTTTCAGTTCCTACCACACTTTAACATTGTCTGAACATCTTTATTTCATTGTTCTTCAGGACTCACATATCCTCCAGGATGCTAGTTCTGCCATTCATTTTTCATCACAGACACTTTCCATCTCTTATGGAACTTTAATGTTTGAGGGGAAAGGTCTAAGCATTAGATGTTAATTCATTAAGCTTTCAAAAGCCACATTTGAACCTTTGCATGGCAGACTTTGTCTTTCATATGTCCCTGAAGAAAATGTGCACTACATGCTGTTTTTAGAAAGCAACATTTCCAAGCAAACAAAAATGTTTTACAAAGCAAAGTCTGATCATGTGTGTCCTGAGAGTAATTGAATTTTAGTGCCATTTGTACATACATAATTTGGGATTAAAGCTGTATGTATTTATATCATGACTGTTCATGAATTTCAAATTCCTGGGCAATGAAACTAGAAGCAAACAGCATCTTGGTGTACTGCAAACACAACCTTTCTTCCTTCAGTGAAGCGAAAGGGGAAAATGGCAAGAGAATTATTAGGTTGGATAATTACAGGAGAAAAAGCGGAGTTTGCTTGATTTGTTGTTTGAGAGTTGGCATGATCTGAAGCTGTTGAAGTTTATTTAAAATGCAATGAGCTTTTGTACCTTAGAGTATGCCAAGAGTCAAACTGGTCCAATATTTTCTGATGGAACATTTCTCCACTGGGAAAGGTTTATGCTTTGGAAGTGTAACTTTTTATGGAAACATCTTGCTTTCAGCAATTCTCTTGATGCAGTGTGGAACATTGAGCATGACTGGGCTGGGCAGTTTCTTATCGGCCCCCATGTTGGCTCTCCGGCAACCTGCCAAGGTGCTGGCGCACCTCTTCGAGGTGGGCTTCCAAGGGCCGACAACTTCTGGCCTGCCAGACTCCCAAACCCTAATTCCTGCTCAGCACTCCTACTGCCCAGAATTTGCTGGAGACAGTTTAGTCTTGCTAATCAGGGGAGAAATAGTCTCTTTTTCAAAATCGCTGGTTTAACCCCAGCTGTTCTTGTGTTTGTGGTCCTGCTGAGGGCAGGGCCCAGCTCTGCAGAATAACATAAAATTGGCATTTCCAAACTGGCCCCGCAACCCCTGCCTCATCTCTGCTTCTCGCTACATTGATCTACAGCTTCATTCAGATGTGTGATGCAAAACATTTAAATGCTGCCCTTCAAGATTATTCATTTTGACAGCTCCAAGCTCTGAAAAATTACAGTGTATGCCCCATCTCCCCCAGACTGTGAGACTAGATCACCAGAAGTTAAAACCAGGGGTGGGTGGGGTGGGGCTCTGTTTGTTTAGTTTGCTTCTTGGTGATTCAGCCGCATGGGTTCACTTCTCTCCGTTTTCCTCTGCCACTGCGAGGGTCTTTGTAAACATCCCACAATGAATGGGTCATAAGCCAAGCCCCATTCAGATGCTAAGCAATACTGACACATGTAATAAAAATAAATAAATTAATTAATTTTTAAAAAAGCCTCTTCAGTCCAAAGTGATTTCCAGTACACAATAAAACACAATTGATGAAAATAACCACTTTGAGACATAGGGAGGGATAAGGAAACAGCAACTCAGATTTATTGGATATAATAATTAGCAGACTTAGAATACCAACTACTTGGCTGTTGACACATAACAATGAATATTTATTATTATTATTTATGAAATAGGCTTCCTGAGCCATATTAGGAAAGTATTTTGAAAGTATTTAGCCAGTTAAAGATGCAAAACCCCCACGAGTTAGACAATTCGCATGTTTTGGGGAAGACCATAAGGTACACCTAGCTGCTTCTTAGCTTGAACTGTTTTAGAAGTCTGCCCTCTAGTTGCCTATGAGAGTTACTGGTCACAATGCATTATTTACGTAACTGTTTTAACTGTGATTAACCTCTCACAAACAATGATTTCGTCTTCTCTACCAAGAATAAAATAAAACTAAAATTAAATTAAATTAAATTAAATTAATTTAAATTTAAATTTAATTTAATTTAATGATAAACTAAAAATAAAAAATACCGCCAGCAATACATGGTGTAAAGCACCTCGATTCAGCATTAACCCTTTGGGCAATGTTTTGCACTAGAATCACAACGTAGCACTGGTAAAAACACAACTTCACGTTTTGAAAAACAGCCTTTATTAATGACATAGCAAGCACAAACACAGAAACAACTGTCAGAAAAGAGCCTTTTGCATTTTAGCACTTCTGACTGCTGAAGGAGCAGCAGGGTATGCCTCTCATGTACATTACTACTGAGGGGAGGGGGGGGGATAGCATTTAGCTTGTACTAATCCCCTTCCCAGAAGGACAGAGAGAGATGGCAAGAAATGCCCGGCTGCCTGCGTTGATAAGCACAGAAAGCTCTCTGGCAGTTAAAAATCACCATAACAAAATAACAGCAATAAAAAGGAGCCCCGGAGTCAGTGCAGTGCCCAGCAGGGCTGTCACAGAGCAGTCCTGCTGTCCTCTGGCCTGCAGCCTCAGCCTGCTTGCCCAGCCAGGCCGCAGCAACAGATAGGGCTACAATGGGGTTGTTTCTGCTGGTGGATTGCTTTGTTTCAGAGGCAGACATCAGGGCAGCAAGCACTCTACCAAGATCCAGGTTTATTTTAAAGGGATTTCACCAGCACTCAGACAGGTGAAACCCGGCATGGCCCAACACACTGCACCATGCTGCACGACAACTAAATGGGAACATGTGCCCAGCGACGGCAGGGCCAGACCTGTCAGCTAAAGCTCTTCCAGTGGCCCTTCCTGAGGCACCAGGGCAGAGTGGCCTCAAATGGGAGGCTGGTGTGGAGCTATGTGTCTCGCCCTGTCAATGTGGCAATGCTGCAGGGCCGAGGATGGGGAACGCGGGGGTGTCAGGGCTGGGGCAACGCAAGTGCCACCACTTGTGAAGTAATACTCGTCACTGAGCTCTCTTTGATTTTGTTGCTGTTAATGCAAGAGCAGCAAGTTGTTTGATCTTGGAGACACTGAGAAGGGGCTCCTCTCCAAAAAAAAGGGAATAGAAATCTCAGCCTTCTCTATCTCTGGGCAGCAATATCCAATTTATTCATCATGAATTCTGCCTCTTCTGTCACCTTACCCAAGGCTGTAATGCAGATAGCCCACATTTGACTATCTGTGCTACTTACAGTTACTAAAAATGCTGCTTTCTCCTGGTCATATGGCTTCTTCTCAACAGAATTCATAATGTGTCAGTGTCATTCTATATAAATATAGTGCACATCTGATATGTCTACAGATAATATCACAGCACGACTGAACTATGATTAATCATGGTACTATTCATCCACCTGTTTTACTTCAATATAATTCTAGCATGTGCAATAAAAAGGGGGCTGAGACAATGGTCCTATCCCTGCAAATATAGTTACAGAAGAAATGGAAGTTAGGTATGGCATTATCAAATATCAGATCAGGACTGGGAGGTTTCTGTGCACTTTGCAAATACTATTTTTTTTTTTTTTAATGCTTAGCACTTAGCATGAAGCAAAACACAATTAAAAAGTAGAGCAAACAGAAGGAAAAGGATGTGTGACAAGACAGTGATTGCTAGCTGCCAAAAAACAGGAAACAGTCTCTCTAACCCACATTCTCTGCACCCTCTTCTGAGTATGTAACGCTCTTGTTCTGAATTTTGTGGCCCCCTTGCCATAGGGAAGAGAGAGGTCTGAACAGGTTTGTGAACTTTAACAGCCATCTTAGACACAACTCACAGGATGTCTTCAGAGATGGATAGGCATGAAGCCATGACATCATACTAATTATGCTAATTTAATTTGACATAAAACTGACTGTATTACAAAACTGTGTATTCTGACACTTGGTCTATGCAGTATATGCTTAATTCCTTGCATTATCTTGTTTCCTTAAAGTTACTGCAGGTCATGTGGTAATTATTTCTTCTTTCGAAAGCTTATAGTTAATATTTTATGCATACAGATACACTACATATGAAGCTCTTTCATGTCAGTAAGCTATATATATGCATGTTGTGTTTATAGTTTTTCATTATTTATTACAGCTTCCAATATTACATGTTTTATTGGAAATATTACAAGTTTTATTGGAAATATTACAAGTTTTGGAAAATTTGAAATACTTGAAATATTTGAAATATTACATGTTGGAAATTGGAAATGTTGGAAATTGGAAGTATTGGAAATATTACATGTTTTCTTTTGTTTTCTACTCCAAAACATAAATGAAGGCATTGCAGCATGTTTTCTGTACAAGACTGTACTGACAATATGCATCTTGATTTTGCCATCTATAACAGGCAAGCATTTAGAAATGAGGTATTAGGATTGACTGGAAGATATACAGTAAAACTAAACTTTTCTATGACATCCTGTTTCACAACACAAAATTTGTTTTTGGCTAAACAAAATGAAGAGAAAAAAAAAGTATGTTTTCCACAGGAAAATAAAAGGAAAAGACGAGAGGAATGAGCTGCTATTAAAAACAGGCTTCTAAGACCGATTAACTTTTGATTTTTAATTTTTACCAATGTGATCCACAGTTTCTGTGGAAAAGATTTATTTTGCTCAATTAGCTCTGCAGACAGGCTTTTCTCAGGATTTACATAAAACAGTTCCTTTTGGAGCATTCATGCAGCTGTATCAGTATGTGTCCTGGATCGGGTTGCAGAAAGACACAGAGGCGCATTCACTCTTAACAATGAACAATATGCAATTCGCACATACAAATTTGGAGTGGGATTTTGAGAAGCACACACTTAAGTGTTTTAAGAGCATAGCTCCCACTGAGTGGCAATGGGATTGTGCTCTTCATTAATGGGGGCCAGAACCCTAGTGGTTTAACTGCCTGTGGTGCAACAGGGACCTAGGTGCTTCCCTCCAAAACTGTGTTCCTCAAAACTGTGGTCTAACTATACCATAATCTCAAACTGTGCTCGAACTTGTCTACAGATACCTATTTTTTTTCATAAACCTGCTCAGCTGAGTAATGGGGAGACATGTAACACTGAGCAGCACCCAGAAGCGTGGTGGGTTCCCACAGAGACCTTCCTCTTCAACACCGACCCTGTTGCATCAGGCTTTGTACAAAACGCAGCAGCAGCCACCCTGGCTTCTTTTAAAGCACAGCTTGAGGAAACTGTTGCTACATGAATTAGCCTTAAGACAAGGCATACAGCAGTCCACATGCTAAGGCACAGGGAAGCAGGTTTCCCTACTGACAAATGAACTCCTTGTTAAGCTGCCGTCAGGCTCACAGTCTACAGATTAATTTTAATTCATTTCTGCACAGCAGTCTTGCTTTAGTTCAAAGTCTAGAAAAGGCTCCCCCTGCCAAGGTAGTCTCCAGTCTCCACGGAGGCAAGAAATGTGGGGTTTAATCCTTTTGAGGAGAAGAAGGAGTTGAACTGCTTTATTCCTTCATCCTGGGTGCATGTGATAATCGCTGAGCCAATGCAGAAGGGAGGGGCTACCAGCACATGCCTTCTCTCGCTGTGCTTTCAAATTGTTCTTCTGTTTATTTTAAAGAAAGTACTCAGGTACAAACCTGGAGGAGATGGTTCACACTCCAACCCAGTGTGAGGGTTAATGGCTCCTGACTCAGGATGTTGCTGAAGCCCCAGAAAAGAAGACAATATGACTGTTTTCAATTATTTTTCTATTAGCTGTATCTAAACAGCTCTCCCCTAAAGCCTCAAGATGCTGATTGCAGAAGTGGCTCAAGGATTCTTAACAGTGTATGCAGCAACATCTCCTTGAGTTGGCAGGGGAGTAGGCTTCTGCAGGGCAGGTTTCCGAGTGGACCTATGTGAACAGAGACACCAGGGGCTCTGGGTGAGAACTGGGGACTCTATCCTGTAACCTCTTATGTCTCCTTATGGCCACTTGCCTCTTGGGAGAGGCCAGGGCTTGGCCCTGAGCAATACCAGTGCACCTGGCAGCAGAAGACAAGGATGGCCTTCCCACAGGCCTTGAGACACAGCAGTCAAGGCAGGAGTGGCCTGGTTCTGCCAGGTCACTGCTGTAGGCTCTGGGACATCTACTCTCCACTCATATCTGCCCCATCACCTGTGTATGTCTGGGGCATTTGCTCCCCATTGGCTTCCCTATTTAATGGTGCAGGCAGCCAAGCAGTAGGTGTTAAACAGAGCGTAGGTAGCATCCAGGCAGTTTTGTCCACTTGACCATCATGCAAGAGAACCACCTCCATGGCAAAGAGAGACTTTGGGACATGAAGAGCTTTCAGTGCCTCTCTAAAGCAAATAGGTCCACAGTAGTGTGGTACATAGTTCTGCCATCCTCCATGGCTACCAGAAACTGCTGCCTACATAGATCACTGAAGGACATTGAAACTTCAGCTCGAGAATGAGGCCTTTAGCCTCAGGTCAGCCCAAGCTTCTCAGGGATCCAGTCTTCAGTCACCTCTGTAGCATCTATTAAGGTAAGGCATTTATGGTGTTGGGGCTAATTGGTCTACTTCTCATCTTGCCTTAGGGAAACAGATTTCTTTAATTTCAACCAAACTGCAAATGACTTCACACTTGGACATGTGATCATGTCACCCTGCAGCTCAGCAAGCTGACAAGCAACTGAGCAGTGCTGTTTGGCCAAGTTCAGCCTCTTATTCACTGCACACATGAAGCTGAACATGTACATCCTCACCGAGGTTGCATGCTCAACAGCGATTCAGGTGTTGTTTACTAATGCGTTTAACTGCAGTAAGTTGGCAGGCAACTGATTTGCCCCTGAAATAATTGTTCAAACATCTAAAATGAAATCCAAGACATGCATTTAGCACAGAAGTAAAATAAGAAAAGAATATAGAGAAATATAGAGAATGTAAGAAAGGATTACAAATGGTTCTATAATTCTATAAAATCTATGTCATTGCTTAATTTGGTACTTTTTGAATGATGGGCTTAAACTTTAAAAGAAATATGTGAGGTACACCCATGCAAATTAACTCTATTTTCAGCAAAGTGAGTTGAAAAACAAACAAACAAACAACAACAACAACAAAAACCTGCAAATATGCCCCTTGTCTTCAAAGGGAAAGCCTTTCTTGTCTTAAGGACAAGAGAGGAAGATTTCTCTCTCCCCCCCCCCTCCCAAAAAAAAAAAAAAAAAAAAAAAAAAAGAAGCTTCTATTCAAACCCTGAAGAAACAGATCAATTCAACTATTTTCAGACAAAACCACAAAATCAAGGAAATTTAGAAATACGGAAGTGTAAGATCTGAGATCCTTAAGTAGATGCTCTGTACAACAGAGGACATACTCTATCCCAGTATTTGACAGTCTTTTGGAAGGGTTCTGCTCTCAAGAACAGCATGATTTGCAAACACAGAAACAAATAGAGGCTTGCTTTTCCCTGTGTTCTCCCTATCTAAGCTCAAATGTTCAGTTTCAAGTCTTCAGATTTGTATTATCTTCCATTTCAGCACACACTTTGTGTTGGTTTTGTCTCATACACAAAGGCTGTACCTTTCAGAGCCTTGAAATAACACCATCTAGCTACTGTCATCACGTCCTTCCCTTAGAACAAGAGCAGTTTGGCTTGGGGGAAGCTTTTTGTTCTTTGATGTTTCCTCAGCAAAAGCAATTTTGCCATCTGCTTGTGTACGCCAGTACTACTGCTACACTGCTGTCAAAATGCACTCATACAGCAGCTGACATGGGCCAGTTAGCCTGCTTCTCCCTGGGTTCATTTGTGAGCAAGCAAGGCTATTGCCCTGTACAGCTACTGCCCACTTCTTCCCTAAGTGCATTCAGTCGCAGCAATTGTTCATGCCAAGATTACATTTCTGTATGGTGAAAGGCTCTGTAAGGCCGTGCAGGAGGAACAGCAATTTCAAGACAGGGTTTGCTCTGAGGCAGCAAACAGGAACAAAGACCCAGGAGAACTAATAGATGAAGGACTCGATTTATTTTTTTAACCAATTGAATAACTGCATTATTAAATTAAAAGCAATGCTATGACAACTCTACCAAAGTGGGGGCGTGAGGTCTGAGCACCAAGTCTGAGGGTTTTATTCTGCTTTTATTGAATTCATATCCCTATATGGAGCTCAGCCATTTGTGCAAGAAACAAGCACAGCCACACTAATTTAACCACTAAATGGAGAGACAAAATCCCAGAGTTTATACTTGTTCCCAAGTTTAAGTAGAGGTTAGTTCAGCAAAGTTTTATTTCAAGTAGCTACAAGCTGCAGCAAATCAAATGCGAGAAATAAAGTATGACTCATAGGAAATGTTTATTTATGTTGTGTAGTTTGTTCTCCTAGTGCATGGAAATACATTGTATTTCAGACTGCTGCAGCAGGTCAAGGGGGAATTAGGTGGTTAAAACCAGAGCAGATAGGGAGAGCAAAAACCAGATATCTACAGAATAATCTGCAGAATAATATTTCCTCAGTAGTGCTGCCCAATAGCCAACAGAGGTTAGAATTACTGTCATGGTGAGCTCTACCTCTTGCTGCCATTATATGATGCTATTTTTTCTCAGAAGGAATTTGCATCCGAGTGTGGAATTGAGATAGCCTTGACACTAAAAAGCTGTATTTTTTCAAAATAAGGCACTTGTAGATGTTCTGCTCCCCGACGCAGATGACAAGGCTCATGCAATATTGAGCCAAAATCCTGAATGAGATGCCAAAAATTCCAAAGCACGGTGATGCAGTAATTTATGTGGTTCTTGAGCACAAGGCTGTGAAAACATAATTAGGTAGTCTCTTATCAAATGAAACGAATAAAAGCTATAAAACAAAATGATGAGGCACTAAATTTAGGGGGAGAAAATTCATTTGATTATCACATCAGAGCCATGATGTTTCAGATCATACTGTCAGCTTAATTGGCTACAATTTATGTAGGTCTGATAAAACCAGCTGAGCTGTTAATAATGTAGGAAGTTGCACTTCAAGTATTCAAAAGCAGTTAGCCCTTTTACTCTGACGGAGGCCCTTTTACTCTGACGGGGCACCCTTGTGCCCAGTTTTAACCCGTAAGGTGAATGACTGGAATTATTTGTTATTTTGGGTTCCGGATGACACCTGTCATCACAATGTCTGAGGGCTCCACACATACCGAAAGCTGGCAGGACAGTTTCTAGGTGCAGAGAAAGAGCATTGCCTTCATCTCACTCATTCATAGTGCTCAGTACCATCTCTTTCCTGCTGTCCAAATGGTTTCTAACACCCGTGGTTCCTCATTAGCTCTGCGTGGTCTCCCGTGTGTGTGCTTCAGGGTAAGCTCCATCTAAGTCAGAGGGTGTACTCCAAATACTAGGGTCTGTTCTCCAATAACCCAAATTGAGGCCAAAGGCCTTAGGGATTTCTAAGATTTCCAAGTAGAATACATGCCAGTCGTACTTATTTTTTAATTTTGTGATTAATTCATACTATCTCTTACTACATATAGCAGAGAGAAGCAAGAAAAAAAGCCTACTGACTGTAACCCATCTTCACCAGTCTCTCAATATCTGATAACTTCAGGGAGCTTCCTGCCTTTTTAAGTTTCATTTTAGGAGTGTGGAGCCAGCAATAGTGCCCAACTCGGGAATTCACTGAAAAGTTTAGTTCTTACAAAATCTGTCAGGAGCAGCACTGATGGAAACGGGATTATCTACAAGGGAGTGTGACAGCAGAAGTTCAGGGCTAACTGATCAACAGAGGGATCACACAAAAGCAAGTACTGACAGCAGAGACTCATTGAAAAAAAAATTAATTTCAGCTTTCCAACCAAATACTTGGACCTTTCTCCCACCCTGAAGACTGATGGTTCTCATCCGAGAAAGGAAAAGAGATTTGTGAGACCAGATTGCCAGTGTGGGAAGTATTTTGTTACTTTAAGAGCATTAATGTGTCAAAGTGAGAGGCTCAATGAAGAAATTTCTTCTGTGTATTTGTTGAGGCCTGTTGACCTCTACATGTCTGCAAACTCTCTGAGTGAGCCCTGAATATGGCAATGGCAGAGTAGTAAATAACACGATCATGTTGTAAAAATTAATAGAGGCTTTCTGTCACACTCGGGCTCCTGGGAAAAATGAGAGCACTTTGAGTTACTACTTTGTGCTTGTCTCTTCCAGTAATAAAAACACCGTGTTTGAAGACATAGCTTGGAAAAGAAATATACTTGTTTTGCATATTTAATGTTTTGGAAAAAAAATCAATTTTTGTAGCTTGCTTTGGAGCAAAATGTTTTCTGATTCTACGGGGTTTGTTTTGAAGTTATTAGTTACTTTTCAAAACCACAAAATACATATTTTTTTTCTGTGTAACTACTTCACAGGGAAGCATTTGCTGTTCAGAAGAACATTCCCTGCTCTTTACTCACTAAAATCAGTCTCCAAATGCATACCTTTAAGCCCTGATAGGCATTTAGAAAGCAGTCTCTCCAGCTCTCTTACCTGCTCACTTCCATCATTTAACAAGTGAATGTGAAGGCAAACTCTCCTTGATCTGCAAAGGCCCAGGGAACCACATGCTGGGGCTTACTGCAGCATTTCAGCAGTTGTAGAAAAGAGGCCCTCAGTTCATAATGGACATCTGCAGGCCATGTTAGAGACAGTGACCTAAATCCTTACTTTTAAACGCAGAAATTCTGGGAAATAAAACATAACTCTTCCTTTTTTCTCTCTCTCTCTCTCTCTTTTTTTTTTTTCTTTTTTCTTGAGGAGATAACATGATTCCAAAGGCTCTTCTCATGTCACTGGGGATCCCAGTTTTCTCTTTTAACAGAAATTTCTAGCTCTTTTGTTTTAAAGTCCAGAAGGATGACATAAGTAGACTCAGGGGAGAAAAAAATA